TTGGATCCACATCTAGGGGGTGGAGATGGGTTTGGATCCACATCTAGGGGGTGGAGATGGGTGGGTTTAGGGATCAGGGGTGGAGACGGGTAGGTTTAGGTATATGTAAGGTGGGAGGAGTTGGATCTGGATCCAACCACGCCCCCTGGATCTTGTATTCTGCAGTGAGGACCATCTCGAAAGCTGATCCTGCGTCTCAATGTTCATATATTCATCCTAAATAGTATGTGAGATTAGAATAAGTGTGTCCCAAAGCATAGTATGTTGAAAAGAGTATGCCAAAGTCCTTGCATTGTCGACTATTTCAGGTCAATTTTTGAATTGTGGATCCGTGCACACTCTAATGGTTAATATTGCCCACAATCCATTGCCCTTTGGTGAGGGATTCTGTCCAGAACAACAAACATGAATAAAACGCGTTAAAAACTACAAACATGGCAGATGTGCGCGACCGGCGGTTAGGTAGAGAGGCTTAGAAAAAGGGGTTTGAGTTACTAATATTCAACATTTAACCTAGTAAAAAATATTTATTTAACTAGTGTACTAGTATCTATTGAATATGTATTTAATTGTGCAGCCCTACAAGTACAGTTTTTTATTAATAATTTTTGGCCTTTTTTTCCAAATAAAGAAAATGTTTGTCTGAAAACCATAAGGTTTGGATTGTGTGTACCCTGTACAGAACATTAATGCAAAAACATTCAGTGTCTGTAGCACCAGTGTGCCCTGTACAGAATATTAAAGTAAAAACATTCTATGTCTGTAGTACCAGTGCTATATGCAAAAAAGTTAATGCTTGGTGAGGGATTCTGTCCAGAACAACAAACATGAATAAAACGCGTTAAAAACTACAAACATGGCAGATATGCGCGACCGGCGGTTAGGTAGAGAGGCTTAGAAAAAGGGGTTTGAGTTACTAATATTCAACATTTAACCTAGTAAAAAATATTTATTTAACTAGTGTACTAGTATCTATTGAATATGTATTTAATTGTGCAGCCCTACAAGTACAGTTTTTTATTAATAATTTTTGGCCTTTTTTTCCAAATAAAGAAAATGTTTGTAAAAAATATTTATTTAATTAGTGTACTAGTATCTATTGAATATGTATTTAATTGTGCAGCCCTACAAGTACAGCAAACCTGGGTTTTTTTTATTAATAATTTTTGGCCTTTTTTCCAAATAAAGAAAATGTTTGTCTGAAAACCATAAGGTTTGGATTGTGTGTACCCTGTACAGAACATTAATGCAAAAACATTCAGTGTCTGTAGCACCAGTGTGCCCTGTACAGAATATTAAAGTAAAAACATTCAATGTCTGTAGTACCAGTGCTATATGCAAAAAAGTTAATGCACAGCCCTGATATGATATTTATTGTTTTTACTGGAGGAAAAAGAGGAAAATAATAGATAAATTTGGTGTCTTATTTCCATCCTGCCACTAAAGGTCACTCGATGACCAACAAACACATTAGGCTACTACGTTTACGAAATTACTGTTTACAAAAATACATTTTCTATGTGCTTGTGTACAAATGATTGTTTTTTTATATGTGGTTTCCTCAATAAAAGTACATCAATCTCCTTGTTTCAGTTTCCTGTCTAATCTCTCTCCTATATTGCTGGTTCATTAATATTCAACATACGATTACCATACTGGGCAGAAATGCTAATTTTGTTTTTACTGGAGGAAAAAGAGGAAAATAATAGATAAATTTGGTGTCTTAATTCCATCCTGCCACTAAAGGTCACACGATGACCAACAAACACATTAGGCTACTACGTTTACGAAATTACTGTTTACAAAAATACGTTTTCTATGTGCTTGTGTACAAATGATTGTTTTTTTTATATGTGGTTTCCTCAAAAAAAGTACATCAATCTCCTTGTTTCAGTTTCCTGTCTAATCTCTCTCCTATATTGCTGGTTCATTAATATTCAACATACGATTACCATACTGGGCAGAAATGCTAATTTAAAGGGTTAGTTCACCCAAAAATTAAAATTCTGTCATTATTTATTCACCCTTGTGTTGTTCCAAACCCGTAAGACCTTCATTCATCTTCGGAACACAATTTAAGATATTTTTGATGAAGTCTGAGGGCTGTCTGACACTCCCATAGACAGCAAGGTTAACTACCACGTTCAAGGTCCGAAGCTACGAGAATACTTTTTTTGCGCAAAGAAAACAAAAATAATGACTTTATTCCACATTTTTCTATAATTAATGACAGAATTTAGATTTTTGGGTGAAGTAACCCTTTAAAAAGTACTAGTATCTATTAAGTTCAGGATATGCCTGGTCTAAAATGTTTCTAGTAACTAAAAAAAAAAAAAAAAGACTAGCTCTATTTTTTCTTAACAAGAAGAGTATAATTAAATACTAGTCACTATTGGAATAAGTACTAGTATCTAATAAATAAGAACTAGTATCTAATGAATAAGTACTAGTAACTTTACAAAATACACTAGCTAAAGAATAAGCACTAGTAGCTAATGAATAAGTACTAGTACTTCATGGAAAAGATACTAGTATCTAAAAAATAAGTACTAGTAGCATGAAAATAGATACTAGTACGGCTTATAGATTAAATGTTAAAACGGCTTTCCATAGACAGATTGGTTACAGCAACATGGTTACGCTCGTTTCAAGCTGCTTTTTTATCCATTGTAGTTTTAGATCTGCAATTCAACAGATTTTAAAATAAAAGACATTGTTCAGTAGAACACAAAATACTGTATGTGTTCTACAAGAGTAACGTTACTGAAAAGGTAGAAACGTTGATCTGTTTTAAAAGTAAACAAATAAAAAAGTCTGGAATCCCAGGTCACTAATTTGTTTTAATGAATCAATGTGTGATAAGTCCATAAATAGCTTAATTAGAAAATGTATGCAGAAAATATAGCAAGTCTTAGATTTCATAGTGGTTTAGCATCTCTATGAACAGAATAATTAGCTTCAAACACAGTCTGTCATCATTTATTTACTGAGATGACCTTCTACTTTAAACAGAACAAAATAATGTCCAATTTCACTTAAACAGAACTGAGCATCAAAATTCTATAGAAATAAAGTAAAAATAACAAACACATTAGGCTACTACGTTTACGAAATTACTGTTTACAAAAATACATTTTCTATGTGCTTGTGTACAAATGATTGTTTTTTTATATGTGGTTTCCTCAATAAAAGTACATCAATCTCCTTGTTTCAGTTTCCTGTCTAATCTCTCTCCTATATTGCTGGTTCATTAATATTCAACATACGATTACCATACTGGGCAGAAATGCTAATTTAAAGGGTTAGTTCACCCAAAAATTAAAATTCTGTCATTATTTATTCACCCTTGTGTTGTTCCAAACCCGTAAGACCTTCATTCATCTTCGGAACACAATTTAAGATATTTTTGATGAAGTCTGAGGGCTGTCTGACACTCCCATAGACAGCAAGGTTAACTACCACGTTCAAGGTCCGAAGCTACGAGAATACTTTTTTTGCGCAAAGAAAACAAAAATAATGACTTTATTCCACATTTTTCTATAATTAATGACAGAATTTAGATTTTTGGGTGAAGTAACCCTTTAAAAAGTACTAGTATCTATTAAGTTCAGGATATGCCTGGTCTAAAATGTTTCTAGTAACTAAAAAAAAAAAAAAAAGTACTAGCTCTATTTTTTCTTAACAAGAAGAGTATAATTAAATACTAGTCACTATTGGAATAAGTACTAGTATCTAATAAATAAGAACTAGTATCTAATGAATAAGTACTAGTAACTTTACAAAATACACTAGCTAAAGAATAAGCACTAGTAGCTAATGAATAAGTACTAGTACTTCATGGAAAAGATACTAGTATCTAAAAAATAAGTACTAGTAGCATGAAAATAGATACTAGTACGGCTTATAGATTAAATGTTAAAACGGCTTTCCATAGACAGATTGGTTACAGCAACATGGTTACGCTCGTTTCAAGCTGCTTTTTTATCCATTGTAGTTTTAGATCTGCAATTCAACAGATTTTAAAATAAAAGACATTGTTCAGTAGAACACAAAATACTGTATGTGTTCTACAAGAGTAACGTTACTGAAAAGGTAGAAACGTTGATCTGTTTTAAAAGTAAACAAATAAAAAAGTCTGGAATCCCAGGTCACTAATTTGTTTTAATGAATCAATGTGTGATAAGTCCATAAATAGCTTAATTAGAAAATGTATGCAGAAAATATAGCAAGTCTTAGATTTCATAGTGGTTTAGCATCTCTATGAACAGAATAATTAGCTTCAAACACAGTCTGTCATCATTTATTTACTGAGATGACCTTCTACTTTAAACAGAACAAAATAATGTCCAATTTCACTTTAACATCACTGAGCATCACAATTCTATAGAAATAAAGTAAAAATAAATAAAAACATTTTGTCAGCAGTAATTACTGCTGTGTTCTAAAGAGCTAAATGTTTTATAAATAGAATTGAATGTTAGAATAAAATAAATGTAAAAATAAATAAATAAAAATAAACAACAGATATGCTGTGAAAAGGGGAAAAGTGATAACTGAATTAAGTAAACCATTTGGGTTCATTAGAGAAAACAAAACAGCATGCCGTGGCAAAGGTACAATAGATCAAGATAAGCATACTTTTGAAGGATATATACTATATCCACCCTGATACTCACGGCCCACTGCAGCTCAAATACCCCAATATTGCTTTATATATGGAATCTATCTATGGTTCAGCACTGCTTTAAAAATGCTTCCTGAAGCTTCTGGCATTTGGCTAATAAATCTGCTTTTGCTCCTCTCATCATGTGAGCAATAATCCCAATCAAAATGATGCAAAGAATTGAAAGAAATATGAGTGCAATGTTTCCATCTCCAGCATCTCCTGGAACTAAAACAGACACATCCGTTAGAATGTTAATATCAAGACTGCATTCATTTTAGATTAATTTAGCTTTTTGATTTAATAGTAAATTTACAGGTGCAATTTACTGGTGTTCAAAAAGTTTCACTATATATAATGAGGACATTTCTGAAAAGTGAGGGCATTTTGGACCTCACAAGTCAAACCTGTCAACACACACATACACAAACACACACAATTCCTTAGCTATCTAAATTCTAATTCCTTACCTTCTATGCAGCTAGTTATAAATATTATAACCTAACACTAGCCCACACTCTAACCCTACACACCAACCCACGTTTACAATCTAAACGGGGACATTGCATATACTTCTGTTGTTGTTATACACAGACTATATATACTATAGAGAAAACTTTCAGAAAAGATGAATCACTGTCTGGTCAACTAATATTTCGGTATAGAGAGAAAGGTTATGATCATGATTTTTGGTAGTACTACAGCACATCGTGAGTGCACATTAGCACCTTTTCTTGTTTGCTTTTGGGATCCGAAGGAGTGTTTGGACCAGTGGTCACACTTAACAAACGGATACCAAAACCAATTCCTTTTCTTTATGCAATTCACACATTTTGAGACACATGAAATTCAGAGTGAAGGTCTTTACCATAGATCACAGGTCTCTCAAGGTTCTGGTTCAGGAGGTGGTTCTTCAGTGTAAATATGACATTAACTGCTGGCTTCTGGGCCTCATATCTGCTCCTAACTAAATAAAGTCCATCTTCTGTCTGGTCATGGAGCTCCAGGTGATGAATGAGACTCTGGCCATATTCATCCAGCCAGATTACCTCAGGTTTGGGGAATCCCTCTGTCTCAAACTGCACCGTTATTGTGGTGGAGTTCACGTGAATGCTCAACCTGGGCTCAGAGTAAAAGGCTGAAGAATACATACACACTGAAACTGGCTGTTCAATAGTGATCCGAGCATGGCTGTTTTGAGAGATCTTAATGCTTAATTTTGCTTCATTATAACATTATAACAAATGACAGTGATTGTTCACAAATCCTGCATACCTCCATAGTCAAGTTTTATTTTGGCTTTTTCTGCCCCATTGATGTTGTTCACTTTGCACAGGTACCAACCCACATCCTTCAGTCCAACTCCATCTATCCTGAGAGAGGCATTCCCTTTACCAAGCTCTGAAATATATAATGAGGTCCGGTTGTGGTATTCTGGACTTTGATGGTCTAGCTGGTTCTGTTCATAATAGAAGCTGTGCACGACTTGTGAGTCCTCCTGGCGTTGCCACACTATAGTCAGACTGGAGAGGTCAGTGTGCGTTGTAAAATGACAGCCCAGTACAGCTGGATGACCCATGACTGCAATCAAGTGATCATTTGGTATGCTTATAAAAGATGCTGAAAGGAGAAGATTAAAAGTTTAACATGAGAAATATTTGCATTTGCAATATTTATAGATGTATAGCTGTTCATCAGCTGTACATGTAATATTACGGACACATAAGAGGTACACACTTTTAGTTTTTATTATATTAAATTATTATTATTTTTTATTAAATCGTACTTTTAATTACGATCATCTTACCTGCAGTACTGGCTAAAATGCAAAATAAGAGTTGAATCATTTTATTAAACCCAGTAAGAATTTTAAGACATCCTTCTTCTAGTTCTTCTACAAAAACAAAGAAAAAGAGAACATGTGCTAGAAGCTTAGTACCCACAATCAAAATAACATCTTTAAGAATACTCCAAAACATTGCTACAAGTGCAATTAGCAACAAAACTGAATGGATCTTTTCCAATTTAATATATAATTTACAAGACTGCACCATAAAAGTATCAGTTCCAGTAGCTCAGCTGGCTCTACTAGCAACGTCATGGTCATGTGTTTGTGTCACAAGACAAAAACACCCTGGCAAAATGTAAGCACTGAATGTTCTTTAAGTCACTTGAATACATCTGAAAATGGCATGAATGTAAATGTATCAGTGTGTTAAATTTACAGTAGTTACAAGATTACAATTATAACCTATTCAGTTTTCCCCCTCTGATTTAGTATTATTTTGAAGTCATCATGCTATTAAATAAAAATTATAATGGATAATAAAACACTTTTATCAAGAATTAAACAAAATAGTCATTATAAAGAACAATGCTCACAGCCATATAATTTCACTTAATTTCATACCTCCACAGCCACACAGATATCCCACAGCATTGTCTACTGATTTTTACCTGACAAACTATATGGAAACTGGTTTCCACAAAGTTATGAAATATGTTCATAATAATTATATATAAATTCTTAAGAAAAAACTTTAGCCTTACCATATCTGACAAAGTCGTTTAAAGACTGTTTAAAGTGAAAGACTGCACCTGGAAATGACACTACTTTTTTCACATTTCAATTGTTCTACTGGTTCTGCCACTAGAGGTATGGGATTATATCTCTGCCACAATTCTGCACATGAAAGACCATATTTTGAGTAAGCAAAAGTGCGTTTTGCATGCGCACGAACTGAGTTTTGTGGAGAAAATGTTCGTCTCGCAAAGAAGAAAGTATTTTGAGCACACGAAAATCAATTTTGCATTTAAAATAAGTTTTTGGATCTGTGCAGACCTTCTCTTTTGTGCGTGCAACGTTTCACTAGCTTGCTCCCTTGATGCCCACCCTCAGTGCTCTCTAAATGCCAATGGCTCGCTTGCTCAACACAACCCAGTGTTACGATATGCCATGATTCCAGCCAATCAGAGACGAGGTTGCTAAATTCTGATTGGCTGCCTTGACAACCAATCACAACAACCATCCAGGTGGATGTTGCACACTGGTGGTGGTTGAGGAGAGACCCCCCAAATGATTGTAAAGCGCTTTGGGTGTACAGCAATACACAATAAAGTGCTATATAAATGCATCATTCATTCAACCAATCACAACGTTCCTTGCATTACCACGACAGCAGAAGAGGAAAAATACAGCAAAATAATTATTATGCAAGTTGATATTCTTTTTCCAAGCACATTTGACCAATTCCAAACGACATCAATATTAATAACTACAATTAATTTTGTATTTAATCATTTATAATTGATATATAATTATTCATGAAGGCTGGAAGTAAAAAATTTCTTATATTCAGGTGTGCATAATTATTAAGCATATTTTGTTTTACAGATAAAATGAGCCAAAAAAGAGATTTAACTCAGACTGAAATTCAAACTTATTAAATGCCCATGATAAATATTCAAAACTAATACAATACTAGAAATTGCAAGGTTAATGTATAACCATTGAACAGCAAAATGCTCAGTGGGTCAGCAGGGGGTCAGCAGTCAAAAACATGTGGAGAAGAAAATATGCATGTTAACTGTAAAAGAATTAGGAATTAAGGTGAAGAATTGGTGTGAAATCACCAGGAACCATTTAGTCTCCAGATCTCGAGATTTCATCTGTAGAAGATAACCTGCTTAACCCTTTCACTGGCGAGTTTAAAATATTCTAGCGGTCCCCCCAGAGTGAGTTTTTTTTAGGCGACCATTATTTTAGAACGTTTCCCCTTATTGTTTCCATGGCGACACGTCATTCTTGTCACGTGACACACTGGGGCCACAATAACACTGTATGACAAATGGATCGCTTTTATTTAGTTTTTCCTTTTATATTCAAAATATTCATGAACTTGCTTACCATATCATCAACTACCAGATATTCCGATTCACAAATATGTGTAAATGAGTGTGTTTTGTCGTTTAAAAACCGTTCTAAATGATCTTGATCGTGATCTGTAACGTGAGATGGGCGCCGCCATGTTTGTTCGCGCTGCAGTTCAGAGAGTCCTCTCAGTCGGATTTACCGCACGTAAATTCATCAATTTCTCCCGAAATACATACAAATAATTGGCCGGTGAACTGGGAGAAGAATAGAGTGAACTTTATAGTTACTTACACCATGTGTATCTGATATTAATAAAACATGTTTGCAAATTATATTTGAATGGATTATTATTGCTGAATATAAGGCGTTTTTCACTTCCAGCCTTCATGAACAATTATATATCGGTTATAAGTGATTAAATACAAGATTAATAGTAGTTATTAAGATTGATGTTGTTTGGAATTGGTAAAATGTGCTTGGAAAAAAATATAATCAGAATATCAACTTGCATAATAATTATGCATGCACTGTATTTTCCCTCTTCTGCTGTCATCAGTAATGCAAGGAATGTTGTGATTGGTTGTCAAGGCAGTCAATCAGAATTTAGCAGCCTCATCTCTGATTAGCTGGAATTATGGCATATTGTAATGCTGGGTTGTGTTGAGCAAGCCAGCCATCAGCATTTAGAGAGCACTAAGAGCGGGCATTAAAGGGGTCCTATTATGCTCCTTTACAAAGTCTTGATTTTGTTTTGGGGGTGTACTAGAACAGGCTCTCAAACTAGGTTGTTCGAAAAACATTATTTTTCACATATTTTACATTATTACAACACCTCTCTCCTCAGTCTGGCATGAACGGCTCAAATAGTTCCTGTATCAAATGAAGGCCCGCCTTCTGAAATACGAAATGTGTTGTGATTGGTTAGCTGGGCCAGTGTTTGTTGTGATTGGCAGCACTCTGCGCCTGGACGGGAAATGTCATGCCCCTTACCATAGCCACCTGCGAGCTTCAGTGTAAATATTGGGTCAAAATCAAATGATTGTAACCACTCTAAGTTCGTCTGCCTTGGGAAAGCTAGCGTGTCTTCCGACATTGTGATAACACTCGTTGCTTTCTCTAGTGCAGCTCAACCAGGTCTCATCCTGGCACCGCAAAAGAGAAGGTTTGCACACATCCAAAAACATATTTTAAATGCAAAATTTAAAATTTAGCTCGAAATACTTTTTTCTTTGCAAGGCGAACATTTTCTCCACAAAACTCAGATTGCGCGCGTGCAAAATGCACTTTTGTGCTCTCAAAATATGATCTTTCGCGTGCAGAATTGTGGCAGAGATCTACCCCCATACTATCCTCTGAGTCTGCTCTGACACGCGACCTCACCGCACAAGGTTGCCAACAAAAGGAAGACATTTGAACGGGAAATAAGCTCGTTCTATTCATAAAACCCATTTCCTTAAGCTATCATAAAGGTTTTACCAGCTGCCAATGTCCGTTGGCAATTTCCCGCTCGCCCTGTATCACACAGTCTATGATCACACCGCAAACAAAGACATAAAGACAGCTGGCTTAACGGCATAGCCTACTCACTTCGCGTTGCAGCCAAAAACTTGTCCATTCATGGGTCTGAATCTCAGAGATGTTTCCCTGTGTTGCGCCTGGATCATCAGTGTTGGTAAGGCGAAACGAGGTTTTAATAATAGGAGCTCCCGATTCTTTTTATATAAAATCTTTTAAAGATTTTTTTAACATTTATTTTTGTAATTGAAATGTTTTATGTATAACTTATATGATTCATTCTATATGAATATTACAATCATTAACATTAGTAATATTATACAGTTCACTTACTAATGCGTTTTTTTATGTGGTATTGGGTCTTGCCTCGACACATTCACCACCACGTGTTCTTTTGTCAAGAGAGAATGGGGGCTGTTTTGTTTCAATATCTGTTAACCAAATAAACTTGGATATGTTATGAGCGATTCTATTGTGATATTGTATTTTGCATGTGGATTTTACAGCTTTTTCTAAAATTACCACCAGGGATGTTATGTCCATTACTTGTAATTTATGTACTGCTGTCGTGATGTTTACGATTAACCCTGGAACAAGACTAGAGGAATATATCTTCCACAGTTTTGTAGAAGTTTTAGAAGAAAACAAGATTGATTTTTCAAGACACTAAAACCACAAATCTATATTTATGTAGAGAGAAAAAAATAATGATAGATAATATGTGTTTGAATGAAAAGACTGTTGTTAATGAACATCTGTTAAACTGCCTGATCATATTTTCTAGCCTCTTTTAGGGTGACTGTTCCTGAAAGGTGTTTGCTGGCAATCCGAGGTCATCCAGCTGTACTGGGCTGTGAGTTCACACCTGATCCTGACCTGTCCAGAATATATCTTCCACAGTTTTGTAGAAGTTTTAGAAGAAAACAAGATTGATTTTTCAAGACACTAAAACCACAAATCTATATTTATGTAGAGAGAAAAAAATAATTATAGATAATATGTGTTTGAATGAAAAGACTGTTGTTAATGAACATCTGTTAAACTGCCTGATCATATTTTCTAGCCTCTTTTAGGGTGACTGTTCCTGAAAGGTGTTTGCTGGCAATCCGAGGTCGTCCAGCTGTACTGGGCTGTGAGTTCACACCTGATCCTGACCTGTCCAGTCTGGTGGTTACCTGGCAACGTCAGGAGGACTCACGAGTCGTCCACAGTTTCTATTATCAACAGGACAAATTGGACAGACAGAGTCCAGAATATCACAATCGGACCTCATTGTATATTTCTGAGCTTGGTAAAGGAAATGCCTCTCTAAGAATGCATCCAGTTGGACCAAAGGATGCAGGCCGGTACCTGTGTCAAGTGAGCAACGCTAAAGGGACAGGAAAAGCCCTGATAGAACTGGACTATGGAGGTATGTTATAAGCTTAAAATAAACAGAATATTTTTAAAAAGCTTTTTTATATTATTATAGCTTGAACAAGAACATAGTTTAACTTGAAATGATTGTAACTTAATTGATCATATATAGTCTTCCATACAAATATCTGTGGATGGCTCACAAAATAAAGTATCCAACACAGACAGCTTATTCAGTACAGAGTTGTGTAGAATGCCATGTTATTGCATGTTATTTACTACCGTATTTTCTCACTCTCTGAATGTGTGTGCGTGTGTATGTGTGTGTGCATGAGTGTGTGTTTTTCAGCCTTTTATTCAGAGCCCAGGTTCAACATTCATGTGAACTCCACTGCTGTGACTGTACAGTTTGAGACAGAGGGTTTCCCCAAACCTGAGGTGATCTGGCTGGGGGAACACAACCAGAACCTCAGCTATCACCTGGAGATCCAAGACCAGACAGAAGATGGACTTTTTTACATGAAAAGCAGCTATGAGGTCCAGAAGCCAGTGGTTAATGTCACATTTACACTAAAGAACCACCTCCTGAACCAGAACCTGCAGAGATTGGTGTTCCTCAGCTATGGTAAAAACCTTCTTTCACTCTGAACTAAGTTGTCAGAAGGCATTTACTATGAAATGGGGTCAGCAATGTAAAATGATTATAATTCAAATCTATACAGCATGAAAATGGAAGTATAACAACCATTGTAATCATGGTTTGTCTATAATGAATGCATGCTGTATAGAATTAGATGTTCAAAGCCTGTGAAAATGACACTGAATATGTGCTATATGACTTAATGGAAAACATGTAAAATTACTTAAAAATAGCTAAACGCAGCTGGAGGTATTACCAAATTTCCCAAACATGTGAGGGACATTGTAAATTAAATTCTGAATACAATTCTGCAAAGTTCTCTGCAGGCACAGATTCTACATGCCTGTGCGCATGAGGCTATACTTATAATCATAAGATTAATAGTCCATTGTATGTCAATGGAAAAATATTCTTCTCAGAGGAAAAGAATGTAACAGTATGGTTTTTAACCAGTTTTGCTGGTTAATTCATCCTCATACCACATTACAACTTAAACGGAAAAGCAGGCTTATAGGCTTACAATTACAAAAAGAAAATATGATAAAGGAACTTTTGTAGTGAATCAGCTCATGGGAAATATGAATAATTAATCTTAACTAGTTATAATTAATTATGAATATTTTAGGCGGGTCCCATGAAGTGCGGCCTTTAAAGTCTGCAAAGATTCACGCCTCTCAAGATGGGCTTGTCCAATGAGAGAGGCTGACGTCCCAAGTGGGAGTTTTGAGATACTGGGGAGTTTTTATGACCCTTTGTTTGAAAGCGTGGTAATTTGCATATGAAACTTGGATCAAAACTACTAAAGATTCTTAGAACACTAATATGTTTCATAGGTATAAACATACAATATACACTCTCAATTAGATCATCCGAATACGAATGAATAGAGACCAAACACGTTATATGTAAGGTTACATGAATGAGTGGTTCTATCATAAGCATGCATAAAATAGTCTACAATACAACAGATAATATACAAGACAGCAATAATATACACAATGACCTGAAGGCTATGTGTGTTCATTCAAATAAAAGTTTTCCTATGAATTAATTAGTAGAAAAGTCCATTCCTACTGTGCCTTGGGGATTATCCTTATGGAAAAGGCAGTGATTTTCTCCACTTAAATTCCATTAGGTCGTAAATGTATCTGGTGTCAGGGTTGCCATGGTAACCAGGGGGGGCCTGGTGTCATTGCCGACATCCTGGCATCCAGTTTATTTGGTGAGGGGACTGTGACGATTTGTTAATCTAATGAATAATTGATTTGTTAAATTGGTCCAGACGCTACACTGTTGACATTAAAAAAAAATAACTTGGATCTGTTGCCTTAATCATTGTAATCTTATAAAGACAACCACACTGTGAGGAGATTAACTGACTTAACTTTTTTTTTAACCCATTTCTTTTGTAACCAGGACAAAGGCAGTCATAAAAAGAAGAAATGAACTCATAGAGTAGCCCATAGTGGTTAGCCCAAGCTTCATTTTCTCAACAAACAGCTAGTAATATATCATGTATAATTACTGCTACAGCTAACACAAGGAAGATGCTGCTGGGTTGTGATTTCTTCTAAATATAGTGTTTGGGGAAAAAACCCCATCGGCATCAGGTTACAGTGAATGATTTCTTTACACGCAACTCATACGACTAGATTGGTTTGAAAGCCTAGTTTGTGCAGTAACTGACATTTAGGTTACGTTGCGTCACTAATTTGAATGCAGAGAAAATCAACCAAAAATATAAAAAATGTTACTGAATATTGTTTTTTTTTTTAGCCACTGTGTGAGTGTAGTTTTCACTACTGGATACTCTAGATAATAAAAAAACTATAATATCACTTGCTAAAGGGTGATTTTATCTGTTCAATACACAAGCTGGTTGTGGCCTGTTTTTGAATTTCCTACATGTCTCTACAGGGTCTTTGATTTTCTTTGGTAGTTTTCAGGTATTAAGATTCTGAAGCTTGATTTCAATTTGAAGTTAAATGATCTAAACCCAGTTTAACAATAGTTATGGCTTGAGGTAGGATTGATGCCAGCTTTGATGTACAGCTTATATCTAACAAATGCATCTTTTTTAGTTTCAGATGAGGATGGAGATGGAAGCACTGCAATCATTATTCTCTCAATACTGAGTGTCATTCTTTTTGCTGTTGTGATGTTTTTACTATTAAGAAAACAAATAAAGCCCTACCTATGATCCTCCAATCTCTTGTCGTCATCACTATGGTCCTTTCTGGCATGTTGAAACATAATTACTCCAAAATAAAACTTCTGGCATTGTTTAGGAGAAAGAAAAAAAGGAGCAGATGCATATTGTTCTAATGTTCAAATGATTTAATTATTTACTTGCCATACTGCTGTTTCAAATGTACAACTTTCTTTCTTCTGAAACACAAAAGAAGACCTTTTTGACCATACAGTGGAAGTCAGTTGTCTAGATCTCATTAACTTTAACTGTATAAACAAAACATTATTTTTTAAGTAAGCTTAGATCCAGGATATAAATGAAGATGATAATCAGATGCCCTCGTGGAATTTTATTCCTGTGGGTTGAGTCATCACTTCTAGCAGTTAGGGTTGTGGGAAAATAAGATTCAGGGAACATAAGGCTGAGAGAGCACATAACACTGGACAAAACATATCTACATAATACAGTTCTTTGTATTCTTATATGTTCTAAAAAATTTTGGATAATTTTTTAAGATGTTTCAATGTGAATATTAGGATCCTGGTGAATGTAAATGGATAGATGTAACAACTAATTGTGAGTCCTGACAACCTTGTCCTGGTGCTACCTGTATCGACCTTGGGTTAAAGATGTTTTACACCCTTACAATATGTGTGCCAGTGTTCCCTTTTGAATGCAAAGCATGCAGTACAGGTCATCCTTCAACCCCCATGTGTGCAGATGAGATGGTGAAGGAAGGGTGTCATACACAGAGCGCAGTAGGAAGGAGATAAATGTAAATGTAAATGTAATTGTTGGCGACTTCAACTTGTTAACTGGGTATATATTATGTATATCTTCTTTACAAATATATGGAGCCTATTTGAATATCAGCAGATTTGTATAGCCAAATGCCTCTGAGTATCCAATACAGACAGCTTATTCAGTAAAGAATTGTGGAGAATTTGAGAGGTTTTTAAATGGACTAAGTTATTGCTGGTGCATCTTTGCTTCACACACAAATTCAGAAAGTGACTTCAGTAACCTCAGACTGAACTCACTGTCTGAATGTGTGTTTTTCAGCCCTTTATTCACAGGTTCAACATTCATGTGAACTCCACTGTGACAGTTCAGTTTGAGACAGAAGGTTTTCTCAAACCTGAGGTGATCTGGCTCGGGGAACACAACCAGAACCTCAGCTATCACCTGGAGCTCCACGACCAGACAGAAGATGGACTTTTATTACATAAAGAGCAGCTATAAGGCCCAGAAGCCAGTGGTCAATACACTAAAGAACCACCTCCTAAAACAGAACCTTCAGAGACTGGTCTTCCTCAGCTATTGTAAACCCATTCTTTCACTCTAAACATTCATAGAAGGTATTCACTATGGGAGAAACCAGGCTCAGTTGGGGGGCCAGTTCTCCTCTGACCAGACGAAACCAGCAGTTCAATTCCAGGCAGAAATTAGAAATTACGTTTCTACAATATTTAGTGGTAGTTTATCAGTGGTGACTGTCAGTTAATGTACAGTACATATGGCAGAAATGTACGGAAAAATAAATTTAAGACGTAATAAAACAGACGATGAACACTATTAACAGCAATTATTATATGATGCAATCAAACTTATAGCAAAATGTGGTAGTTCTGTATGTTGTTTCAGGGTTGGCATCATCTTAGGTCCTCTGAGGGGTTGGCATCATCTCTTCTCAGGTGTTCTGGATCCAGACTGAAGCTTGTGTAAATCCTAGCAAAAAACAGAGAAACAAATAGAGACATAATTAGCGTAGCTGCTGTTCCAACCAAGCAAAATTGATTTGTTTAACCCAAACTAAAGAATAA